GCATCAACTACTTCGGCTAAACCATCTTTGTCCAACCTAACACCAGAACAGGAAAGTAAACAAAATGAGGAAGCAAACCCAAACAATAGTCAGATCTATTTGCTAAACTTAAATGAAGAAAGCAGTTTATACTAACTCAACTTCAAGACACAAAATTCATTCTAAAAATGAGAATGCACTTATTGTTAACATCTAAAACCTAAACAACATATCAACTAATGACATTATTGCAGCATTAGCTATGAATTTGAAAAATGATCTCATAGCAGCTAAGACCCACATTTTAAGAAGGAAAAGAACCTTTTTAGAAATAATCCTTAGAAGTGAGAAAAAGGTTCGATTTTACACTGCCAAAGGCATCTCTCTTTTTAAGCAAACGCTATTTGGATATATTCCAGTCAACCTCAATTGCTCATTCTTCACAATAAAATTAAAGAACACCCCAATGGGCAATACTGAGCATATCAGTAAACATATACTTAGAGCTTTTCAAGATATTGGTCAAATAGCATCTATTAAGGGTAGGGTGTACAAATTTCTAATTTCATATAAAATAGATTGTACATCAACTTTTGTATATGATATTATATGATTTACATGTAAACATCATATGATCCGACCAATCAGAACTAGAAATTTCCGTGTAACTCTGAAAAAACATATAGCGACCCCGGAAACTTAGATTATATATAAAGTTCATTTTTTTTATATTCTGCAACTTCACTATTATAAACAAACTAGTTTAAACTACATATTATATAAATTTGATAAAAATTAACTGAGATGTTAAAAAGTTTAATTAGAAGTGTTTTTTTATTTACTATGTAAAAATTCAATATACTATGCAGATCATATGAAAAATGATCTACGTATACTCTATCCTTAAACCTCACTTTTACGAAGGAACCACAGTCTGCTCTGACCAATGGTTAATTACTTTTGAAACTATAGAAGACCCAGAGCTAACTACAAGAATCCTAGAGCATACATATTAGCAACTATAAAGTAACCACAGAGTGGAAAGAAGCTCTGAAATTATGCTTTTACTGTGAAAAGGAGAGACATATCAAGAAGGACTGCAATGAACTTAAAGTCTTAATGAAAGCTAGGCAATGACTTAGAGAAGCCAAAGCACAATTAGAAAAAGAAAAAATGCAGAAAACAACATCACTGAAATTAGCTTTAGCCCAAATAATCTATATAAAAGCAATATGGATATGGCCACACAGGATGAGAATGAACCTACCACTCTAAATGAAGTTTGTGAAGAGGCATCAAGTACAAATGAAGTTCCAGTCAACAATATGGAATTAGACATTTTAGTTGACACAACCACTTCGAACTTTATCACTAATACAAGAACATCAGATCTAAGTAACAATAAAGAAGAAACAAACTCTAATCCTATGGATGAAGATGGTTTAGCCGAAGTAGTTGATGCTGAGGAAGATGTCAAAAACATGTGTTCTGTTTGTTTGTTGTTTACATTG